TCAGGACTGGCATAGCTGGGGTCACTGCAGGTGAGGAGCGGGGGTGCATTGGCAGAGCTGTGTGGGGTTTCAGGACTGGACTGTCACCTTAGAGCTGCATTATGTGGCCAGAGCTGCGTGGGGTCCAGATCAGGAGGAGTGCAGGTCGGAGCCTGTATTGGCAGAGCCTTGTGGGCTGGCTCACGGGGAGCTTGAATTTATGTCCTTCCCTAGCCAGCACTGTCCGTCTCTCATGTGCCAAGGCCCCTTCGTGCTTATCCAGCTTCTCCCTCCCATAGCCACAGTGTACCCCACGTTAGCTACGGCGAGGAGACACTGGCTGACGTGAGCCTTGTTGGGGAGGATGGGAGTCGGGTGGTGAGCTGTAAAAAGGGAGCTTTCCTGCCTGGGGCCTGCTGAAAATGGCGCTCGAGGCCCAGCCTTGGAAAGGCCCCTGGGCACCAGCCATTTGCAGCCTTCCTAGCCCGGTGCCCTGGATTGCCGTTGACTCAGGCTAGGCCTTGTGGCTAATGCTTTTCTGGCCCTCATTGGTGGCCGCACCCCCGCGTCCCCACACACACATACCCTAATCCCCTCTTGCCAGCCCAGCAGCGAAAAGAAAGGAGGGAAGAGAAGAGGAGGAGGGGATGGGGGGAAGGGCAGGCGACAGAGAAACTTCTTCCAACTTCTTGGGAATAAAAAGGCCCTATTCACTTTGAAGAATAGCAGTGCAGAGACGGTCACCTAGCAACCTGGAGCGATTCGGCATGGCCCAGACGCTGCCGGTAAGGAACAATGATTCCTTGCTACCCTCCTGAGAGCTCAAAGCCTGGGGGCCTTCCCAAGAAGAGTGGGGTGGGCAGCGGGGCTGGGAAAGCCAGGCGTGTTCAGCATGAGAATGGGCTTCCTTTGAGACTGGAAGATGAGCTTGTCCCAGTGACTGTGCAGGGGAGGGGGGGTCAGGCCGGATTCTGATGCTGATGTAAATCAGGGACAATTCCACTGGAGCTATACCGGCTATAAGAGAGGAGAGTCAGACCTGCGGGTCTACTGGTATGCTGGCATCCTTGGCGGGATCCTCACCTGTGCCCTACACAGCCCTATTTCAGCCTCATCTACAGTGGGGAACGCTCTGATTCCTGCCATCAGCACATGGCAAAGTCCTGCAGGGTACAAGCAAAGCCTTGATTTGCACTGGTGGAACTTACCCCTTGGCCGGAGGGTGGGCAATCCCAATGTAGACAAGGCCAGTACATTTCTCCCACGCTCAGGGTGGATCCAGACAACTGAGGGGTTACTGACAAACAGGACCCAGTCACAATACCCTAGAAGGGCTAAAGGCATGATCCAAAGCTCATTGAAATCAATAGGAGTCTTTCCATTAACTCCAGTGGGCTCTGGATCAGACCTTTAAAGGGTCAATCTGGGTAGGCGCAGATTTGGTTTGCTGGGAATTGCCTCCTTAGAGCAGCTTTGGGGGCTGTGCAAAATATTCACAACAGGTGACACTGCACGTTTCAGCTCAACTCCAGTGGGGATCCCAAGGGTAGCTGAGAAGCCCCGGGGAGATGCCAGCAGAGGCCACACCCAGCCTCCATAAACACGTTTTGATGTCCCCAGCTTCAGAGTTTTTTTCCCCCAGCAGCAAATAAATGGACTGACAGACACGTGTGAATCTGGTCACCCTTTGTAAAGCACCTGTATAAAAATAGTAAAACAACGCTGGTCCGAGCTGGCCAGATGATGGTTACAATTCACGTTGCCAAACAGATCTGAAATTCCTCCCCTTAGAACTCAGGTGGCGTTTCCATGGCCTTGCAGAATGGCCTGGCAAAGGGAAGTTGTGTCACTCGCAGCCAGAGAAACTCCACCCATGCACCCAGGCTGAATTCACAATTGGGTTCGGACCCAAAGCCCAGTGAGGTCTGTGGGAAGACTCCCGTCTGCTCTTCGGGGCAGGCCCTTGGTTTGCAGTTGGCTGCCACTCGGGAGAAAGGTTTCTGCCCTTTGTAAATGTCTGAGTCATGTTAATAGGAACGTCTCCACATCCCTGCCCCTCACCCTCTATCCCAGTTTCTGCAGAGCATTAAAGGGGATGGGACAGGTTTGCTGGAGCATGTGTATGTGTGAGTGAAATAAACATGCTTCTCTTGAGGTTGCAGTGAGCAAAAGCCTCCCTAGCCAAAACACGGCTGTGTAGTTCGGCAGCAAACCCCGTCTAGTGCTAGCAGCTCCCAGATTTGCCATCTCTATATGACACTCAGCGATGAGCGGTGGTGCAAGGAATTACCACAATCGTTCGCCTTGAAATATCTGGGAGGTGCTAACCGCTGTGAGTGCCTGATCCTATGAGATCCTGAGCGCGTCTGACAAGGTGCTGAGCACCTCAACCGCCCATTAGGACAGGACGGGGCCGCAAACGAGTGAGGATGATTAATCAGATGTGGGAAACTGACAGCAATGAGAACAGATCATCTTACCCCACGCAGTATTCATCGGCATCAATGAGCAGCTGTAGCTATGCCGGAAGGAGAGCGTCTCCTGCCAACATAGCGCTGTGCAAACGAGTGCTTTTGCCAGCAAAAGCAATGTCGCTCACCGGGGGGTGCCTTTTTCACAGCTCTGAGCAACAAAAGTTTTGTTGACATAAGTGCTAATGTAGATGTGGCCTAAATGTCTAGAGATAAGAGTATTATACTAATAATACGACGTCATTCTCTAGCTTCTTCTGCCAGAGGGGCTCCCAGAGCTACTCTGCTAGGTCAGCCTTGTAAGTAGAGCTGGGCAAAATCTTTTGGCTGAAACGTTTCTTCGTTAAAAACTGCAGATTTAGGTCAACCGAAACATTTCGCAAATTCATGTCAAATTCACCAGATTGTTTTGGTCTAAAATAGCAAAAAACAAACAAAAAGAAAATCCAAAAAACCAGAAACAGATTTTTTTCAGTTCAAAATGTTTCATTTAGAATTTGACTTCATTTGTTTGAAAGGTTAAACTCAAAAATGAAACAAAATATTTATTTCTGGGTTGATGTGAACATTTTTTCAACCTGAACTAAATTTTTTTTTAAACTTTTTTCAGTTTGTTGAAAGAAATATTTTTGTTTCAGGTCGAACCAAAACAATTTTCGGCCGGCAAACCAAAAAGCCAGTTATTGACACAGCCCGAGTCACAAGCCCCTTGAGAGAGAAAGCCTTTTTATGCCCATTTTACTGAGTATAAACCAAGGCACAGAGAGAATATGTGACTTATTCGAGATCATCTGGCAAGTCAGTGGCAGAATCAGGAATGGAACCCCGGAGTCCTGGTGCCAAATCCCGAGCACTAATCATTAGACCATATTGGTAACTGCCTGGAGAAAAACTAGCCCCATCTCAATGGGCGCAGTCTCTAATTGCACCCAGGCAAAAAGGAGCTAAACCAGAGTGGGACAATCAGTGCTGGATCGGCTTGGATTGAGCTCAGGCACAAATCTCCCTCCCCAAAACAATCACCCACCAATTACACGGGGGGGCGGATGGTGACACATGAGCTGCAGCAGAGGAGTGGGGAGCAGGGCAACGGTTAGTCTGTGGGCTCAAGCGGGGGGTGTTAAATGGGACTCCTGGTGCACCATGCAATTGGGACTCACCACAGCAGTCCAAGCAGACTCCCTGTCCCCAACGACTGCTGCACCTCTCCCAAGAAACCCAGCTGAATGCCAGTTCAGATCCTCCACAGACATGTCTGCTGCTAGCAAAAGGCTTCCAAATGGAATCATTCAAGATCCCTCCAGCTTGGAATCCTCTCTCCCAATGACAGCACTGCAAACCAAAGAACCTACAATGGCTTTTGTAGCCCCTAGAATAACGATCAGCCCTGCACTGGCTGCATGTGTGCTCTGAGCTGGGGAGGTCCATGCTGTTTGCTTAGTGCTTCCTTCCTGCCCTGTTGCTGAGGTGCATGGGGTGCATATTCCTGGAACCAATGCCCTGAGACAGAAGATTTCTGGTGCCAAAGAATTAACGTACCTTCATGAAAATAAGTAGAAAATGACTTGAAGTCAGGACGCACCCCTGCCTTTCAAGTTTCTTTCCCACATGACCCTTTTACCAGAGAGGGTCAAACTCTCCAGCCAGTGTCCCTTCGGCCCCAGGTCAGGATCGCTGGTAGAGTTTCATGACATTTGCATTGTGGAGTTTTTTCCACACCCTTCGCTCCAGATCGAAGTCGTGATTGATGTAGAAGATCAGACGTTTCCGCTCATTGTCGTAATAGTGATCCGAGTACTTCTGGTAGCCATCTGTGATGAAGCCATAGGCACTCACCTGGAAAAACCAGAAGGGTCCAGTGGGTTAGAGGGCTTCAGAAATGGGGAAGTCAAGGGCTGGAGGGGTGGCAGGGAAAGAGAGCTGGATGGGCATGGCTATCACAGAGGGGAGCTGCTTCCAAATGGAAAGGTGAGTCTGGGGTCCCTGCAGCTGGGGCAAGGGGCCTTTTGCCTCCCACATTGCTATATGTAGGATTCCAGCCAGACCAAGCTAGGAACTTTCACTCCAAAGAATGTCCTTCTGCTCTCACACCAACTCCTTGGAAGTCAGGGGAGTTATACTCCCAGCCACACAAGAGGAGGACCAGGTCAGGTCTTCTTAACCCGTAGGGGCGTTTTTGCCATTTGTCTTATCCCCAAGTCACTGGGACGCTTAGACTGTCTGCCCCAGGTCAGTCTGCAATGTAGTTCCAACTGGCCAACACGGGTGCTGATGCATGACTTGTACCAGGCCTCTTCATCCCATTCCTTCCCCCCTCCTCCAGCATACCCAGAGGCTGAGTGCCCTTCCCATGGGTCTGCCAGGAATATGCTCTTCCTGAGACAATATAAGCAGGAGACTTAGACCTGTCTGTCAAACCTAGAATTTTGCTCCTTGAAGATTTACGTTTCGCAAGAAGCACCTATCCCATACATTGTTATTATTAGGCCCCATTGTCAGTTTTCACTGAGTCCAAACTCCCATTGTTTATGGATACCCATAATACCCATTTTCCAGATGGGGAAATGGCAAAGTTAAGGGCCCCTGATTTTCCTTAGTGCTGAGCACTCACAACTCCAAAGGAAGCCCACAGGAGCTGCAGGTGCTCAGTGCTTTTGAAAATCAGGCCCTAAATGACTCACCCAAGCCCAGAGAGGAATTCGGTGGCAGAGCTGGATTAGAATAGAGTTCCTGGCTACCAGCCCCATGATCAATCCCCCAAACATGCTCCCTCTCACCAGCTAGGGGCTACGGGACACTGCCTTTTGCCCATCCCAGGCAGTGTGGTGGGATCAGCAGCCCCATGGAATCCTTACCCGGTCACAGAGATGGAGGGCAGTCAGCAGTAAGAAGGCCCCTGTGGTGGGTCTGTACAGTGCCCAGTAGGACTTATCCAGACTTTGGGATCTTAGAAACCTGCAGCAGGACATAAGAAGGAGGAGCATGGTCTCCAGGTGTGATGGCTTGAGTTTGGGGCAGCCTGTCCATCCCCATGTGTCTGATGCATGATGCACACATTCTGAAGGCTTGTGCTGCCCACAGTACAATGGGCATTTCAACATTGAGATAAGAGTCAGCCAACCTTTGATTCGGGTTTGGTCCAGTGCTTAATTTGTGCCAGGGCTTGCCAGGGCTGAGCCTTGGCACCTCTAGGCTTGGCAGTTCATAGCTCCATTACCTCTGGGGGCTTAGCAGTTCATAGCCCCGGCACCTCTGGGCTTGCCGAGTCAGTTATGAAAGTAAAAAAATTGCTTGAGCCCTAGAACCTCTTTCATTACAAATTAAGCACTGATTTGGTCCAACCACAAAATCAGGCCAGACAGCTGGAAAGTTGGGGGGGTCTCTATCACCCACATGCACCTCCACCCCTCTGAGATGCTACACTCCCAGATGCAGATTTGGTTTCCTAGGGCCCTGGGGCAGAGTAAGTGGGTGCCCCCTCCACACCCCTTCCACCTACAGTCCCGCCCCCATTCTGCCTGCAGCCCTGTCCATGGCCCCCACCCCTTTGTGCCTCTTCCCCCATGCCCGGTCCCTGTCCCACCCAGGGTCTTTCTGCCTCCCCCACTGTGGCCCCCAACCCATTTGCTCCTTTTTGCCCCCACCTCTACTGTGGCCCCAAGACTAGAGAAGCTCTGTCCCTGTGCCACACCAGGGCCGCAGCAGGGAGAGTGAGAGGTCCTCCAGTCCCAGGGCCGCAGCGGGGATCCGGGTGCTGGGGCTTCCCCCGCCACTCCCCGTGCTTCTGCAGGGGACCAGGGTCGGGGCCCTGGGGCTTCTCCTGCCCCACCTGCTTGGCGCTTCTGCTGGAGTGCGGGTCGGACACGGGAACTTCCCCTGCCGCCCTGTGGCTTCTGCCAGCGACAAGGTCAGGGGCAGTGCTGGGTCTTCCCCTGCCGCCCCGCGGCTTCTGACAGGGATGGGGTCGGGGGGGGGGAGGAGCACTGTTCTTCCCCTGCTGTCCCACACCTTCTGCCAGGGATGGGGTCGGAGTGGGGTGTGCTGGGTCTTCCCGCATCCCATGGCTTCTGCTGGGGAGCAGGGTTGGGACGTGGGGGCTTCCCCACCCGTCCGGAGGCTGGATTTTTTCTGGGGGCCCCCAGTTGGCCAGTGCCCCTGAGCATGGGCCCTGTGACTAATCCGCCGCTGTACACTCCAACGTCTTGACTCATCCTGACCCTGGGCTCACTATGTGCTTCTATAGAGCTCAGAATTACTCCCCCAGGTGTCTAACAGGACTCACCCTCCTTCCCCTGCACAGAGGGGTGGGGTGTTTGTCCTGAAGATTGGGTGAATGAATAGCTCCATGACGCATGGGGTCCCATCAGGAAGTACCACCTCTGAAAACAACATGGGACTGCCACTCATGGCTGATTGGCTGCCATAATGGTGCCCCATCCAGAAATATTGGTTTTGTAGGGCTGGTATCTAACGTTGGTCTCATCCATGACGGTGTGATGCGCACACGCATAGGGAGTCCCCTGGATAGCATTTACAGGGCATTGCACTGGTCAGATATCCCATGATCCCATCCACTTGTAGGACGCAAAGAGCAGTTGTAGAAGAGGCTCAGAGAAGGAATGAAAGCTGTTGGGGGCCTGCGTGTTTTGTGTAATGATGCATTGATGAGAGACACAAGGTAGGACACAATAAAGCCCTTGCACTCATTAGCTGGGAAGGAGCAGAGTCGGAGGAGCTATGGCTGATGTCTGTAAAATAAAGGATGGTCCATTTGGGCTGCAGTTTGCCTTCCCAGGATCTAAGCACAGGTGGGCACTCAAAGGAATTGAAAGGCATCATGTTTTAAAGGGGGGGGGGCGCAAAGGAAGTAGTTTTTCCCTACACACGGAACCTGGTACAGGCGGACATTACCACGGCAAATCACTTTGTAGGTGTCTAAAAAAGATTAGACAATTATAAAAGAATAGCAGTGGGAATCACACTAGTTAGGGTAGTAATAAAAAACTATTCACCCTCATCCTTCAGGACATAGAATGCTGGCGGGGTCAGGAAGAAAGTTCATTTTAGGGGGTTTATGATTTCCACTGAAATATCTAGCACTGGCCCCTGACAAAGGCAGGACACTGGACAATTTGGCCCTTAACCTGCAACTTGACCTCAGAGGAACTCTGCGTGGGTGCAGGGGTTCCACCCACACTGATCCGTTGGCAGGATCGGGGCCTTAATTTGTTCTGATGGGGCAAATTCGATACTTTTTTCTCTTGTATGCTGAAAAACAAACTGCCCTGCAGTCATTCCCTCTCCACCTCTCAGCTTCTTATGGGTGAAATCCACCCCTTGGCAGAAGGCCAGCATGAGGGTTAGATGCCACTGAAGTTCTGCCTAAGCATTGCTTGTGTTTGCTCTCTGCATGGGGGTGAATTTCACCCCCTGTATGATTGGGGTTGTGAGGAAGAGGGCGGGGATGAAAGAATGAAGACGACAGAATCCGGCTAGCGGCCTTTCAGAGACAGCCTGACAGATGGCGCTCGCCATGGCAAATAACCCCCTGCTACTGACCTGTTTTTCATGTATCTGAGGAAATCAGGGTGAATGACCAGATAATTGTCCAGACTGAAATCCTTACTGAATCTGTCCCGTGGTCTGGGCCTAGGGAAGGGAACGGAAATAGATTCAGGATAGGTGAGTGCTCGAACCACTCATTTCACTTTGTGAAAATAATCAGGCCCCATCATGTATGCTGCTAAGAGCTGAAACAGACAGAAATGATGCCAACTTATACTGGAGCATTTCCCAGAACAGCACAAAAACTTCACCTTCTTGTAGCTTTATAATATAAGCAATTTGGGGCAGGGACCATCTTTTCATGGTTTGTGTGTACAGGAATTAAAACAATGGGGCTCTGATCCCTCAGTGCGGGATAAAGGACTAAATAACAACAATAAAGATGTGCCCGTAATGGGTTTTTTGTTTCAACGGCAGCTCTGAAAAGCTCAAAGAAAAAATTCAGATAGTGTCAAATTGAAACTGAATTTTTTTAGAATTTTCAATGCATCGAAAAGTTTATAAAAATACTAGTTTGGGGTTGAATAAAATGTTTAGTTCGACCCAAAAGGAAATGGTTCATGTTGATGTTGAGATATTTTTCCCCTTTAAGTTCAAATAAATAAATGAATATGGTTAAAGGTTAATTCAAATCAAAAAGTCAAAACGTTTCATTTTGAAAACGTCAAAAACCATGAAAAAATGTTTCCATGTATTCAGATTTTTCCTTTTTTTGGTTTTTCCTCAACCAAAACAATTTGCCCAAATCTGCACAAACTTGGGAAATATTTTGGTTGGCCCAAATCTGCAGGTTTTTTGCTGGAAAAAAGTTTCAGTTGAAAAATGTCACCCAGCTCTAAATAGCACATTTCATTCAGGAGAATCACAAAGTATTTTACAAGCTACTGATGTACAGGCTGTAGCATTCAGACACCCATCACTGAAATGCAGCCACTTCTGGGGCAGCACGCGACAGCCATTCCTGCAGCAATGTACAACGGAGCAGATGGGAAGTCTGACTTCTCCAAATGAAATTACAAGGGGAATTTTTCACGTAGCTCTGCACAAAGGGAGGTGAGGCTGCAGCAAGCTTCAATGTTCAAAGACAGGGTCTATGGCAGTCTGTTTTACCCGTACTGGTCCAAAAATCCCTTCCTGACATTCTTGTTCAGCAGGAGAGCCTTCAGCCACTCAAAATCCCTCGTGCCCTCCAGGAAGTGAAGGTACTTGATCTCCTAGAAAACCCACCAAGGAAGAGTTAGTGGCCAACATCAGAGGGAGATGGGCATTAAAAATGAATAGCAAACAAAAGCCCGAATTCGCTGGATTTCTTGGGCACAGAGCCAAGGTCGGTTGTTGCTAATTATATCCCCTGGAAACAAAACAGGGGTGTAACTGAGCAGCAAATGGTTAGGTAGCTTGAGTGCATTTACTTGTAAAGAACAGCAAAAGACACACCCGTTAGTTTCAGGGTCAAAATGATTGACACAGGTCTGAGCTCTGATAGCACAGTGATGAGCAAGACATAGGTTCATAGGTAGAGAGACAGGTGAGAGAGAGGGAAAAGACAGATTAGATCAGATCGATAACTACAGACAGAGAATCATTAACTCAGTAGTTCACACCATTTTCAATACTGGACGCTCCCACCGTCCCCAGATTTCCCCTCCCATTTAGCCACATAGATAGGGCAGGGTTGTCATGCTGACAACTGGCAGACATTTGTTGGATAAATAGTTTATTTGTTGAAGAATGAAGTCTGGGGCCATCCAAAATTATTCAAGAACTTGACTCAAATTCACAAATAGTTTTGGCCAAAAACAAACAAACAAAAAATTAGAAAAGTTTGAATCACTTTGTTTCAACATTTTCAAAATGAAACATTTCAAATTTTCATTTTAAAACAATGTTTCATTTAGAAATGTAGCTAGATTTATTATAAAGAACAAACAAACAAACACCAGTAAAAACCACCCCAAGAGAAAATGAACAAAAATTGTTTCAGGTCGACCAGAAACTAGTTTTTTGGGGGGATTTTTCGATTTGGCCCCAGAACTGAAAAATCAATTGTTTGCTCAGCTCTAGTCATGACCCCAATGTCTGTTCCCAACCCCCAGCTGACAACCTCTCAAATCCGTTAGATACAATTAGATTCGATTGAACTGAAAAGTGATCCGAGGCCAACTTCTACCCCACAGCTTCCACTGGATTTTCCCCAATAACCCAGCCATCGGAGCAGAATTCAGTGCACCAGAGTAACGTGATCTCACACCTCTACGGCAAATTTCATCTCGAAGGTGCCCATACCACTTTACAATGACTCAGCTATGAACACAGATCACGTCATCCACCTCTGGGATGAATTACAGTAGCTGATTAGCAGCCTACAACAACACTGCATAGTGCTTTAGAACAAGACGTGAAGAACACTATTTCAAACTGAAATTGCAGGGGGGCGGATAGGTAGATGACACATAATCCAGCCATGACACTGGGATTAGTGCCTAGCTCTTGCCAAAATAAATGTAAAGGGATGTTTAATAACCATAAATGGTCAGGGCCTCAGTATGACGTCTCCTCCCAAAGGAGGAACATCCAGCATCGCACGGCACTCTACCACCAGGCCACGTCAGGGCTGACTGAGGGGAAAGAGCGACCCAACATAGCTTCTCTACAGCACTTGGGTGTTCCATGAAGACTTTCCATCCAAGTATTGACCCAACCCATCTCTGCTCAGCTAGGGGAGCTGACAAAAATCACAGCACAAGGTGGCTGCAGGCCAAAAGCCTCTACCTTGGAGTGATATAGGGCAGAACGGAGTTGCATTAATGCCAACAGCTGGAACAGGTCATGGTTTTGAGTTGGATCCGTGCCTTGCTACTGGCTGGGACGGAGGCCATGGAAGCGAGGAGCGTAGCAAGCCAGAAGTGCTTTACTTTACTGTGTTGGCTGGCTCAGAGCACTTCCACAGCACACTGCAAAACAACTCCTAGAGTGACACAGATTAGTGCAGTGCTCAGAACCAGGGCTGCCCAGAGGATTCAGGGGGCCTGGGGTCTTCGGCGGCGGGGGCCCGCTGCCGCCGAATTGCCACCAAAGACCCGGCACTTCGGTGGTGGGTCCCGGGGCGGAAGGAACCCCGCCGCCAAATTGCCGCCGAAGACCCGGAGTGGAAGAAGCTCGGGCCCCGCGACAGTTTTCCAGGGCCCCCGGAGCGAGTGAAGGACCCCGCTCCAGGGCCCCCGAAAAACTCTCGTGGGGGCCCCTGCGGGGCCTGGGGCAAATTGCCCCACTTGCCCCCCCCCCCCAGGCGGCCCTGCTCAGAACCCTGGGCTACACCCCCAGCACTCCTAAGCCCAGCTCCTCCAAGGTGCCTCACTCAGTGGGAGTTTGGGGTCTAATACCTTTGGGGATCTGGACCCTAGCATCTAAGTTGGGCCAGTGCAGCACCAGTTTGGCCACACCTACTTGGAATGACTCAAGTGTGCCTTGCCAGTGTGGATGCTTGAGTGGGCTAACTCGGGCTCCCAGACCCAGGCGTTCAGACCTGGGCTAACTCTGCTGTGACCTGAGATGCCTCTGCCCTGCTGCCCTTCACATGGGTCAGGATCAGAAATGCAGGCCATAGGCAAAGCAGAACCTTGCCAAGGGCATGTGTACACACATCATCTGCCTGACTTACTTTTCCCATTGGGATCTTGCTGAATTTGCTCCCCAGCACCACAATAGAGGCCACCAAGGAGTAGGCTGTGAATCCATAGAAGGACGTTTTTGTTCCCACGTCTTTTTCGTAACCTTTGATCACGGCACCACTCACCCTGGGCCAGAAAATCAAACAGAATTGCAAAGTCAGCAGCATATTGGTTTAATCACTGGGCTGGCATTCACAGCAGGGCTGGGGGAACTGGTTTGGCCAAAATAACCTTGAACCAAAACTAGCATTGAACCTGAGCCTCCTAGGAACCGCCTCACACTCTGGGCTGGACAGCCACAGTGGGAAATGAATCCAGATGGAACCTTCCCTGAGGCTCAGAAACATGCTGTTTGCAGGGCCGTCCCTACCCATACGCAAAGTACGCAGCTGCGTAGGGCACCAGGAAATTTGGGGCACCACATTTCCTGGTGCCCTGCACAGCTGTGTGCTGCTGCAGCCCTTGCTCCGGCTCTTCCCCTGGGCCCCTGCCCCACCCCCACTCCACCCCTTCTCCAAAGCCCCCACCCCTGCTCCGCCCCAGCCCCGCCTCTTCCCACCCCTGCTCTGCCCCAGCCCCGCCCCCCCACTCCCCGGCGGCGGTAAGTGCAGCGACCTGGCCCCAGCCCGCTCCACTCCGCTGGCTCCCAGCTGCGCCGCTGGTGAGTGCTGGGGGGCGGTTCCCCCTGCCTCCCAAGGCTGGGAGCCAGGGGAGCACAGCGGGCTGGGGCCAGGGGCCAGCCCCCCCACGGAGGCCTGCGGCCCCACACAGCCCCCCCGCAGGGGGGGGTGTAGGGCACCAAAATAGCTAGAGACGGCCCTGCCTGTTCACACTTTGTTTTGGATTCCCATCCCCATTTTCACTTGCAATCTCCGCACCTCTGGATCCCAGTGTGGCACTAGAAGTGACAAAATACCACAGCCACAGCTATAGTTTTTTGTCCCAGCCAGACATAAGATGACCTGGGAATAGCATAAGAAAGCCCGTCCCTCTGAGATTTCCAGTCTGAACTGCAGACCAGGGAGGTTTAAATAAGGTTGAGCACATAGGTTATTTAGCCTTGGACTTCGCAGGCCAGTAGCAATGACTTGGAAACAGGGTTAAAACATAAAAAGAACGAGGAGTACTTGTGGCACCTTAGAGACTAACAAATTTATTTGAGCATAAGCTCATGGTTAAAACATGGCTCTGGAGTTTTTTGTGGGATCATCTCTGTAGAGGGAGTAGAAGGGTGTAGAGGGGAGTGGGGGGATAGAGAAAAGTGCATGATGGAGAAAGGAAAGTAACAGGAAGCTGCGCCTCTTACCGGAACACGTAGTCATGGGAGTCGATCTCCTGGCCCATTCCAGAGTTGTTTAATATCCCCCCATTCCCCACCACGGCACAGCTGATGCAGGTCGGCCTCTGCTTGCTGTTGTTGGCCAGGAGGACCTGCTGGTAAGGGTTGGGTGGCAGCATCGTTATGACCTCCTTCACCACTGAAACACAGACAGGTGGTTTCCATCAAGGAGGATGAGTGAATGGTGCATTTTTGGAGAGCTTTCGGGCTGGGAAGGGAACACAGGGAAAGTGCCATATGTGAACTAGCCTGTGGGCCATCTAGTTTGTTACCCTGTCTCTGACAGCGGCCACACGGGATGCGTCGGAGGCAATACCTTCACATCTTTGGAATGCAACAATACACCATGGAGGGAAATTCCTTCCTGATCCCAACTGGCAATCAGTTTATGGCCTGGAGCATGAGGGCTGACAGCCCACCTAACTGTTATCCTAACTAGTGTGGCTGCTGCTGCTGCTTGCCTATTGGTATACTTGCCCATACCTTCTTGGATACTTAATACACTACTTGCTTCAGGAGTCCATCAAATAAAGGAGCCATCAAAAAAACACCATAGTCTTTGCAATGAAAAGAAACCATGGGCCCGATTCACCACTGCATTACTCTTGTTTGCCTTCAGTGAAACGCCATGACTTCAGTGGCGTTATATGGGAGTAATGCAGTGGTAAATTAGGGCCCATGCCTCAGGGTCAGCACAAAATTGGGAGCTGATGGAGGGACTGGCCTGCTCCGGGAACTGACAAAGAAGTGGAAGACACCTCCCTGAGGAACCATTGAGGGTGTGTCCCAGCTTGGGAGTTCTGTCCCGGCACTTCGAGTGGGGAGTGGGCACCCTGTGAGCGTCAGGGAGGGAGCAGGCCCAGCCCAGCCCACCATCCCCTTGCTGGACTCACATGAGTAATTCAGCTCCATAAAGCCGAACGGTGGTTTGAAATGCTCCAGGCGTTCCCACTCGCTGTGGTTGAAGTGTCTCCTGTCTATGAAGAGCGTGATGTTGGGCAGGAAAAGGTCCCTCAGCCAGGCAGACTTGGCGGCTTTGGCCCTCACCGCATCGGGGCAGCGCTGGAAGCACAGAAGACAGGGTTGTAAGGAAGCAGACAAGGGTTACGTGATGGCCGCCATCTTGGCTGCCACCCCAGGGACTGACCCAGGGCCTTCACGCTGCAGCAGCTAAGTGCCAAGCCCTCCTAGACGCAGGCTGTGCTAGAATACCCACCCAGGGGCACTTGCTCTTGCCTCAGAAAAATGCCATTATGGTTTTATGATGCAGAGGCTGACCAGGCCTTGCTGAATGCGCTTGCTGCCCCCTGCCTTGAACGAGGCCTCCATGGCCTTATGCTCCTTGACACAGAACTCATGCCATGCACAGCAGGACATCCCCTTGCACCAGCTCTCAATGTGCATATCTGCCCAGGCCCCAACCACGCCTCCTTTCCTTGGAGCCACACCCCCTTCAGCCTCCGGGTCAGTCACTGTGGTGCACATCCCCTTACGGCTGCTTCCACTGGGTTACACGCCTCCCTGCTTTCTGCATCTCCTCCCACAGTGCAGGCGGCGTGCTTCCAGCTCTTGTGAAAGTGAAATGAATTATACTAAAGAAATAGAATGAATTAAAG